TAAACTTTATAAAGGACACAAACACAATTATTTTTTTACTTAAAATAAAAACATGCTTAAAACATTAGCTCTGTAAGCTGCAAACCTATTTTTGATTTATTGGCATTCACCACAGAAATCTCATGCTCAAAGTTCTGAGTCTGGGACCCAGGTTAAAACATGAAATGGCTGAGTGATTAAGAGAGTCTGGCGAAGCAAGCTATGATGCAGCAGCAGCAGAACTGGAAGCAGGAGATGGCCAGTTCCACTGTGGACCTGATGAAAGCCTTCCGGTGGCCTCATCCGGCCCCCAGGCCACATGTTTGACACCTCTGATTTAAACATTCAGATGTCAGACAGCAAGTTCAACTTCTGTCTCATAAACAGTCAGATCATAGAATGGTAAGAGTTTAAAGGTGCCTCACAGGTCGAATCTGCATTTGTCTTTCCCACCGGTGTCCCAGCCTTCTGACTCCGTCTTCAAAAAAGCTGTCTACATTTGCTTTAGTTTTCAAACCTTGTGCTACCATACTTTTGCATGTCTGCATATATTTATTGCCCTCTCGTGGCGGCTCCAGTCACTGCGCCTCTGCACTCCTTTAAATGAATCTTCTCGAAACAATGTTCAAACAAGCATAGAGAAAAACAGCGTCACAGCAGCACAAAACTGATTTAAAAATGCAAATGCAGATTCGACCACAGTAATCTAATCCAACCACCTGCTCAATTCAGTGATACACAACTTCAGTGTCCTGCCCTTGCATTTAGTCAGTGTGAAGCAAGTATGGGTTATGTTAGCTTAACTATTTGCTTGCTTTTTAAAAATCCATGAAGGTGAGCTTCTGCATGCATAACTGCATTCAGACATGGATGTTTCAAATACAGAATTCTATTTTTCATCACTAATATCCACATTAACATGGCAAAAAACGTTCTGTATGAAATCCTGAACTCTTAAACCAACTCAGAATGTAAGTTTGAGCCTTTCCATAAAGGAATCAGGCTAGTAATATCTGAGTTTTGAAGCAGAGTTAAAGAGCAATCCTAAATAAATCTACTTATGTCTAGTCAATGGACTTATTCCCATGAAAGTGTTTTTAGGATTGCACTTTTTGACAATGATTTTCAACAGATAAGCCTCTTGTTCCTAAATAGACACCTAATGAGGTTAACAGAAACCATTTACCACAATGTGCACTGGTGTAAGCTGGTTGGCTGCTATGCCCTCATTCAAGGGGTGTGGAGAATTTTACCTACACCCCGCAAAGGCGCGGGGGGGGGGGATTGCTGTCGGGGTAGAATCCTCCTTGCCACTTGGCAGCAGTTGATGCTGATTACAGCCCGATTCACACATGCAGGAGAATGAAGCTGGAAATGAGAGTCAGAGTCCAGAGATGGAAGAGTAGCACACACCCACTCGGATAGCAGATGCAGGATAGCACTTTGGAACGTTCCTTCCCATTTAAAACTATGCAACTAGGAAACCAGCACCGCGGCGCGAGGGGGGGGGGGGATTCTGCATCTCCTCTTTGCGCACTGGACTGGTTATCCGTTTGCAAGGGGCTAACACCATAGGTGGGAATTCCGAATTGTAATCCTCTATGATCCTGCACCAGTGCAGCCTCTCTCTTCCACACCTCTGATCTCCGCCACTTCATGCCCCTGCACACGTGAACCAGGCCACGCACGTCATGGTGAATGGTTAGTCCTCCGCCTGCAATCACCGTCTTTGGGACAGTTTCGGTGCAGATTGCAGAAGCTAATGTCGTGTGTAGAAAGCACGGAAGCTACCGATGGGATAATTTGAAAAAAAGCCGGAAGAAATCTTCACCTTGAAGACTATATCTATATATAAAAGACCCGGAGGAAGGAGCATTTCCGGATGGTACACAAAGTTGTGAGAATTAAGCCAGGAACACTCCACTCTCCCTTACGTTCTCGGGACTCGGAAAGCCTCCCCCCCCCCCAACCCGTAGCCACTCACCACAGCCCCAGCCATAGCATGGACCAAGCTCTCGTAGGACAGTACCCCGGCCATGGCTACACCTTCGACGGGCTCCGTCCTCCACAAACTTCCCCAGCTGCATGAAGGGAAGGAGGAGCCAGAAGAGAGGTAAAGGAAAGAGGGACTGCCCCTATCCGTGACATTAGAGTCGCGTGACTTTGGCGTCCGCCGTTTCTTCCTCCCCAACCAATCACACTGCGCCGCAGAAGCGGGGCGGACTGTTCTGTCAGAAGCCGGGTCTGAGTGCTGCCCGCCCTTTTTTAAAACACATCCATCTCTGACCAGTTCTGATGCAGGAACACAGCTTCAGTAAACAAATATAAGCTCCGCAATGGCAACTGTGGCTGCCATACAAATCCTTACTAGGGAATAAATGCCACCAATTGATGGGATTTACCTCCTAAAATTGGCTAGAATGGAAGTCTTCAGCACTTGAGCTTGGGATTTAGGAATCCCCTTGAAGCTTAGATGTGCAGCAGCCACAAATACTTTATCCTACCTTCTGAGTGGGATATAAAGACTCAGGTAGCTCTATTCTTACTCCTATATGACTAAGAAAACTTTGGCTCTGGAAATTTTACATCCCGAACATCTTGTTGGTGTATGGTGCTAACCATACTCTTTATGGTTACCTTGGAACCTTCAAACTAATTGCCCGCAGTACAATAACTGGCCTTAACTGGAATTCCAGTGATAAACTACTCAAGCTCCACCATTCATCCTGCTTGCTTGAACTCATCTTGGTTCTTGTGCAAATACACTCACATATTGTCAAAAGGAAAGTAGTTGTGACATCTCTTTCTAATTTCTTCTGTGAAATGGCAGGTGCAATTCCATAAAACACACAAGTCAGTATATCTCCCAAATGTGCCACGTGGTATCCTCCATATATTTTCAACTATGATGCAGAGTTTTGTGTAAGATTATGGATGACCATATCACACAATTATATAACCTACAGCTGAATATTTGAAGATTTCTATGCTGCCTCTCTACAGACCCTATTCAAGGAGGCATATAAAGTAAAACCTAAACACTATCATAGTTTGTTAACTTCAGAAAAATAGCCATAGCACAAAACATAAAGCAGGCCTTAAAACAGCTAAAAAGACCTCTTAGTTAAAACAAATGTTTTGGCCTGTCACTTAAAAGTAAATGCCCAACAAGCCTGAAGGGAAAGGGGCATTTCAAAGGCAAGGTGTCACCATTGAAAATGCTCTAATTACCATCCACCTCAGTGCAGAAGTATAGAAAGCAAGGCTCAGGGGCCGATCTTAACTGGTGGGCTGGATAGATCCTTCAGATACACTGGCCTCAAGTTGTTTCAGGCTTTAAAGAACAAGCACTTTGAGTTGTACCCAGAGAAAGACAAGCAGCCAATGCAGAACCTTCACCACAGGAGTAATAGTCCCTGCATCCCACCCGACAGTAGCCTGGATACTGTACCAGCTGATATTTTTGGAGTGTTTAAAGGCTGCCCAACATACAGCACATCAATAATCTAATCTAGATTTGATCAGAGCATGGATCATTGGAGCCAGATGCTGGCCTACACCTCAAGCTAATATCCTTGAAATAGATTATCTAATTTAATACTTGGTTTCTAAAACTGTTTTTGTGATTACATCAACAATTAGCAGCATAATCATCCTCTCATTTATCATCCCAGCAGAGCCCTCCCATCGAAGATTGTTCTTGTTGCTTATCACTCACCTTTAGTATGCAAAGCAGCCAGTTACACAGAAGCTGAACTAACTTCTTACAAAACTCTTGCTGTGCAGGAGTCATTTGTATGTTACACAGCATAAAGATGGGTTGGTGGTACTGGAAAGCGCCATCAATTCACAGCTGACATGGCAATGCTGTAGGGTTTTCCAGGCAAGAGACTGAGATGGTTTCCCATTACCTGCCTCTGTATAGCAACCCTGGACTTCCTTGGTGGTTTTCCATCCAAGTACTAATCAGAGATAACCCTGCTTAGCTTCTGAGATCAGCCTTAGCCTGGGTCATCAGGGTCAGCGCAAAGATGGATTAATAGCGTGAAACTGAGTCCACTGCCCAAATATCTTTTACGTTCAGGATTTGTACAAAGACACTTGGAGTTTTTCTGCCTTGCCTCAGTCTCCGCTAAAGCGTGTTTCATAACTTATTAGAACTTCAAATGGTGCCCAGAAGAAATCAAAGCAAGCTTCCTGTTTTACAGCCTGAACTGCTGCTATACAGAACCAACAACATTGCAGGTGACAATCTCTCCCACCTACCAGTTAGAGCAGTTAAGGTTTCTTAAACTTTTTTGTTAGTGCAGTAAGGTAAAAAGTGTATGCGTAGCACAATCTGAAAATGAAAAATACCTGGAGGCTTATTAATACCTAGTATTTTAAAATGTCTTGTACAGGGCACGGATCTCTTTAAATTAAAAATACCTGAAACTGTTAGCAATATATTAAGTCAATTTCACCTTGGCAAACAGGATAAAAATGGATCAGATAGACTTTCTCCCTCCAACCAGTGCCCTATCCCATCATCTTTATACCATTATCAAACCATTAGTGTGGTAGCACAATAATGTTGGGAGGGAGATGCTGTAGAGTTTGGGATATTTCTGGGCTACCTCTCTATTAAAATGATACCCAGGATGCCCTACAGGTGTTACTTACTGCCTAAGATATCTGTTCACCCTTAGAGGCACATAGAAAAGCAAGGATTAAAAATATTTTTGCAGTACTTACAAAGGATCCCAGTATATTTGCTCCTCCTCCAGATATATTAATTACTATCCCAATCTATCCACTGTTGTTCCCAGTCAAAAACAAGACCTTCTTCTATTTCCATAAGACAGTGTGACTCAGGTGTCCTTGAGCTTGCAACAGCTTGCCCTTAATTTGCTTCAGTAGCTTCAAACACAGTTTATACAATGATAAACCAAGAAAATTCTTCAAAACCAGTCTTTATTTTTAAAGGCAACTAGAAGTATTTTCAGAACTATTTATTAAGCAAAATGAATTCATCTCTCTTTTAATTTGACAAAATAACTGGTAATTGTTGTATTGGGGGGGAATCTTCTTTTTAAAAACAATCTGAGTTCCTAAACCAGCCCAGGTTTAATTAGAAACAAAAAAAAAAATGACATCGCTTTTGGATTCAGACAAAATTACAAAAGCAGAGAACAAGAAACATTCAAAAGCCCTAGAAGAGACCAAGACCTAATTATAATAAGCTTTCAAATATTTAGAGCAGGAAATAAATTTTTGAATAGACAAAAACAGATTTTAATCTATTAGTTACCCATGAACCTTTCAGCAAAACAGTCAATGAATTCACATGCTGTAATTATATTTAAGATGTGTCATTTCCAGCAAACACCTGCATTCTCTCCCTTCCATACACAAGACCCATAATACAGTATTAACCAGAAAAAACCCATAAATTCAAGGAAAGAGAAGGACGAATGGGGTATAAAGAAATGGAAAACTCCTCTGCTGTATGAATGGGATAAATGGGACTGACAACAGTAAATCTTACGGCTTTGGCCATGGTATTTATTATGACCCTCATGACTTCAGAAGCTCGAACTTTTGCACTCCACAGCAGATCCATTGTGATTTCTTTATGCAAATGAACTGAGACTATGACAATATTAAGCGGTTAAACCAGACAACAAGTTCAACAGTCAACCAGCAGGAGTAATATTTCAGCTGTTTGCCATGGAAGGAAGCCAGATCAATAAAAACATCATTCCCCTTATGTTCTTACTATCATGTTACTCTGATCAACACATTAATGTTAAAAGTAATCCAACATCAGTAGCATTTGTACCAACACACCAAAAGCCAATTGTGTGACAGAGATGCTTTGCACTACTGAAGTGCTCTGAGCTAGGACGAAGTGTTTTAAGTCACATTTGTGAATGTAAAAATGAATAAAAATTACCTTTTATTTGTTCCAGATAAATATAATAAGACACTAAGCCCCCTTACTTCCCTGCATATAGAACGTAAGCAGTGTTACAAGTTTTAATTAAGGAATCCAGTTACTGGGAAAGAGACCCCAATACCATTGTAAGACCCCCATGCACACTTTTTGGTACAATCTACTGGAAGATTACATTTAAGTATAACAGTTTTAAAATAAAACTAATACTGTTTAGTAAAACTCCAGGGCAAAGAAGATGAGAGAAGAAAACGTGTTTTGAAATAAAAACTGAACACAATCAATGAAATGACTGCTATTCATTTTTGAAGCATGGCGGTGGGGGGAGGGGAGAATGATTCTATCTAGAACACCCTAGTTCTCTTTTGAGAATCAGAGGTACAATGGTTTGTGTTATTGCAACATATGGTAAGTAATCAGTATTTCCCCCACCTCTTGCAATGAAAAGGGGACTTTATGGTTGCGTTCCAAATTTGGCTGAAAGTTTGCCAATGAGATTCATGACTTTGGGGTTATTCTGGTACTTAGACACGTTGGCTGGATTTTGAGCAACATCTTGGAAAGCTGCCATAACTTCTGGATCCTGTAAAATAAGAAAAAATATTTTACATGTCTTATGATAAATTAATTATTCCCCCCCCCCAATTAACAGGGAACTAACAGGTAGTTTAGAGATTGAAATCCAGCCAGCACATCTGCCAAGTTCATACGTGATGGCTTCAAATAATTGCCCATTATGATCCAAGATCACAATCCACCACAAAATCAAGTATGCTGAAGTCCTAAAGCAGGACCTTAAACCACAGACCCCTAACTTCCAACTTAGAAGCTAAGGAACACACCAAAGGTGTGCTAGTAGCCAATTCTGGGACCAAAACAGAGGTGCAGCTAGAGGGTCCTGGATGGGAAAATAATTCACTTAATTCAGCACAAGGAGACTGTTCTTGCCACAGGGCAACAGGGTAAGGTCTGCTCCCCCCATGACCTTCTAAGCCCAGAAAGGATGGCAGGACAGTAAAAAGCCCTTAAGAGTCCCCTCTAGAGAGACAGAATGGCTGCGGCAGTTTGCAACCCATGCCACTGCAGAGTAGCACATTTATGTTCAGAGGGAGAAAATATGTCAATCTCTCAATACTTATTTAGCTTGGCCATAGCCTCAAGAGAAGCCTATGCTGTTCAGTTCATCCTCTAGAAGCTACAAATATAACCATGGCCACAGAAGCCTTGCAGGGCCAGCAGAGAGCTGCAAAGGCATTCTGACCAAGGCAGTGAGAAAATGTTTTCGCTCCTAAGCTTTGCCTAGTTTTTTATGCCTGCAATCCAGATCAGACAATGGGATCAGCCTCTGACTTGGAGGCAAGGAGTCTGTGGTTTAAGACCCAGTCCTTTATCATCAGCCAAATATTAGCTTTCTAGACTATTATTTTCCTTTGACAACAACCTAATACAATGTGCCATGGTAAGATACACATGAGGTGCAATTTGTCAAAATAATTCTAACTACTCTACTTCATCTAGACAGTTACATAATAATCATTCTAATGATGGACATATTCATTATGGTGAATATTTAAACATAAAGGGAAAGAAACAGAAGGGCAATTATCTTCTGAATACAAAAAAGAAATATGCAGGACAGTTCTCTGGTGTGAGCAATTGTATACCGAGACTGACAAGAGTTTATATCCACACCAAGTGACACTGCTTGCAAGGAGACGTCCTTCCACCCTAAAATTGCTAGAAGGTTTAATTTGTCATTGGAGACATAAAGAGCTAAGGATCCCAAGTAACAGCAAACGCAACTGCTGCACAGAATCACAACACCATGAAATCACAAGCTACATTATGATTTTTACATGTTCTCTATTCTCACCTGCATGGCTGCAAGAACTTCAGGGTCACTAAGAATTTCATTGAGACCAGGCATGCCGCCCATTCCAGGCATGCCCCCAGGCATTCCGCCAGGAAAACCACCTGCAAATGTAAGGAATACACTTAAGCAATTTGCAGTAGACTATTTCCTCTATATGGGCATGCATATTATACACCAACATTCTCCCATCCTTTGGATGCCTCCTGCAACAGTGGAAGCTGTTGGAATATACAAGGTCTATAGTGGACCTACTCGAAGAAGATCAGAAGAACAGCCTATAGGGGACAGTTGAAGGACTGCTAGTTAGTGTAGCTAGATTGGGGACTTCCCACAATTTCAAATTATGTCCTTCCTGTCTCCTGATTGGCTCTTTGGAGACTTCCTGCTCCAACTGAGACCTCCCTCCTTCGTCCCCATCGCTCACAGCAGTTAGTCAGTTAGTTAAGCCTCTCTCCCCTCTCATCTGTTCTATCAGAGTTTATTTCTTCTTTAATAAACCCAAGTTATTTTCTTATTCCGCCAGGAAAACCACCTGCAAATGTAAGGAATACACTTAAGCAATTTGCAGTAGACTATTTCCTCTATATGGGCATGCATATTATACACCAACATTCTCCCATCCTTTGGATGCCTCCTGCAACAGTGGAAGCTGTTGGAATATACAAGGTCTATAGTGGACCTACTCGAAGAAGATCAGAAGAACAGCCTATAGGGGACAGTTGAAGGACTGCTAGTTAGTGTAGCTAGATTGGGGACTTCCCACAATTTCAAATTATGTCCTTCCTGTCTCCTGATTGGCTCTTTGGAGACTTCCTGCTCCAACTGAGACCTCCCTCCTTCGTCCCCATCGCTCACAGCAGTTAGTCAGTTAGTTAAGCCTCTCTCCCCTCTCATCTGTTCTATCAGAGTTTATTTCTTCTTTAATAAACCCAAGTTATTTTCTTAAAACAGTTGGTGCTCCATACCTCTAAATGTTTAAACTCTGCCAACAGAAGTAAACAAGACCTGCCATTGACTAAAAAGCCAAATCTTTATTAAAAGTGAATATTTATTAAATTTATGAACTGCCTCATCCCTACTATCATAGGGCTCTGGTCAATGTACATAGTATTAAAAGAATAGCCAGATGAAACAATAGAACATATTAAATTACATTATAAAATAGATGGCAAGTAGTAATCCTTATAATAATCCTTATAATTAATTATTCCCCATTACAGACTGCTGACTGTTTCGCGGACAGGGGGAAGAGGTTGAAACAAGCATGGAAAACTGAGGAGGGTGCCAGCCAGGGTAAAAACTGTCGGCTGTCCTCAACCAAAAGTCTGGCAGAACACCTCTGCCTTGCAGACCCTGTGGAACTGCTAAGGTCCTGCAGGGCCCTCATCGAATTTGGCAGAGAGTTCCACCAGGTTGGCGCCAGGACCGAAACGACCCTGGTCAAGGCCAGCCAGGTATCCTTATGACTGCGTGTTCTTATTCAAAGAGTACAATGCCCTTCCGAGACA